AACATAACCAAAAATCAATGCTGTCTTACCTATATTATGTATCTGTGTATGTACAAACTTGGCTTACAGTAAATTATTAACATGCTATATATCTACAAACAGGTAGGCAAATTTGACACTGCTAAGAGTTGACTCATCACAGTCTGTCAAAAAATCTCTGTCTATAGTATTAATTCCTCTTAAGAAGTTTTGGCAAGTCAGAATGACCCAAACTTTTTATTGTATCCAATTCAGTCATAAAAGTTGGGTAGAATCTCCAAATCTTGGGCTGGGTGTGGTGGCTCATGCCTATAATCCCAGCACTTTGGGAGGCCAAGGCAAGTGGATCACCTGAGGTCAAGAGTTCCAGACCAGCCTGGACAACATGGTGAAACCTTGTCTCTAATAAAAATACAAAAATTAGCTGGAAATGGTGGCGCATGCTTGTAATTCCAGCTACTTGGGAGGCTGAGACAGAAGAATCGCTTGAACCTGGGAGGCAGAGGTTGCAGTGAGCCAAGATTGCATCACTGCACTGTAGCCTGGGTGACAAGTGAGGCGCCATCTCAAATTAAAAAAAAAAAAAAAAAAAGGCCGGGCGTGGTGGCTCAAGCCTGTAATCCCAGCACTTTGGGAGGCCGAGGCGGGTGGATCACGAGGTCGAGAGATCGAGACCATCCTGGTCAACATGGTGAAACCCCGTCTCTACTAAAAATACAAAAAATTAGCTGGGCATGGTGGTGCGTGCCTATAATCCCAGCTACTTAGGAGGCTGAGGCAGGAGAATTGCCTGAACCCAGGAGGCGGAGGTTGCGGTGAGCCGAGATCGCGCCATTGCACTCCAGCCTGGGTAACAAAAGCGAAACTCTGTCTCAAAAAAAAAAAAAAAAAAAAAAAAAAAAAAAAAAAAAATCTCCAAACCTATTTCTTTCATCTTGAGTGTAATATTTTTAGGGTACATAAATGTAGTATGGCAAAGAGTTTGTTTTGTTTTGATGGCTTATGATGGAAGTCATATTTTCTGCAATCTGCTCTAGGCAACTTTTAAAGAAAAAATGAAACAAAACATGATCAGGTAGATTCTACAACAAATAATTTAGTGAAACTACTATAAGTTATAATCTGACTGTAAATCTGATTGTAAATCAGAAAGTACTATAACTTATATTCTGATTGTAAATCTATGTCATAGTTTAAATTAGATTTTGTTTGTTTGTTTGTTTTTGTTTTGTTTTGTTTTTTTTGAGACGGAGTTTCGCTCTTGTTACCCAGGCTGGAGTGCAATGGCGCGATCTCGGCTCACCGCAACCTCCGCCTCCTGGGCTCAGGCAATTCTCCTGCCTCAGCCTCCTTAGTAGCTCGGATTACAGGCATGTGCCACCATGCCCAGCTACTTTTTTGTATTTTTAGTAGAGACGGGGTTTCACAATATTGACCAGGATGGTCTCGATTTCTTGACCTCGTGATCCACCCGCCTCGGCCTCCCAAAGTGCTGGGATTACAGGCTTGAGCCACAGCGCCCGTCCTAAATTAGATTTTAAAAACTAAAAAGCCTTGTGGGACACTATGAAATCTTCGAAATTATGGAAATTGATATTCATATTGATATGTAAATGTGCATATGCTATTGTCTATTAATAATGACAGCTGTGCCGGGCACGGTGGGGCGTGTCTGTAGTCCCAGCTACTCCGGAGGCTGAGGCTGGAGGAACTCCTGAGTCCAGGAGCTCTGGGCTATAGTGCGCTATGCCAATCGGGTGTCCGCACTAAGTTTGGCATCAATATGGTGACCTCCTGGGAGTGGGGGACCACCAGGTTGCCTAAGAAGGAGTGAACCGGCCCAGGTCAGAAAAGGAGCAGGTCAAAACTCCCATGCAGATCAGTAGTGGGATCGCGCTGGTAAATAGCCGCTGCACTCCAGCCTGGGCAACATTTAGAGACCTTGTCTCTAAATTTTTTTAAATTAAAAAAAAGTAAAAGAAAAATAAAAGTTAAAGAAATAATGACAGCTGTTACAATAACAAGGAATGGCATAAAATTTATTTGAACACAATGGGTCTGATTCAGCAACTTGGATCTGTTAAGAATATCTTCAGTAAAGCACTTTATTGTAAATAAACACTACTTTACATTTTGTAATATTATATATTCTATGTGTTTTGTTCATTGAGCAGTTACATCAGAGAATGGATTTCAGTGACAACAGTATTAAAATATGGAAAGTATCTTATGTTAAAAGAGTTTGGTGTGTACAGATTGTAGTGGTGGTTACACAAATCTATATATTAAAATATTCACAGAATAGTATACCCAAAAAGTTCATTTTACTGTATGATAATTCAAATAATAAAAATAACTGTAGTTTTTTTTTTTCTTTTTTTGCATTGGGTGCCTTCATCACGTTACCCAGGCTACATTGCCCTGCCACGCCCAGTCAAACCGAATTTTCAAGATGTAATAAATAGTTTAGATTTTTTTTAATGCTTGTGCTGGGCTCTGAAGGATAAAAATATAACTTATGGCATAAAATAAACATTTTTTAAAAAATTATAAATAATGCTAAGATTATAAAGAACAAGAAAAATATTTTAAAGTATATCCCCCCAAACATCACAAAACAATCTATCACAGACACAATCTGGGACTTTGAGCCTTTTCAAGGGAAAATTTGAAGGCTAGTCAATCTTCACAACGTAAACTTCTTACACTCAAAACATGAGATGGCTTTCCTAGGATTTACTGGCTAGGAATAAATATTTTGCTCAGCAATTAATAAAAATAATTGTAAAAATTTATTTGCTTCATAGAATAAGAACTGGAAGGAAACTTAAAGAATTATTTGATAGGTTGGGTGCGGTGGCTCAAGCCTGTAATCCCAGCACTTTGGGAGGCCAAGGCGGTTGGATCACGAGGTCAAGAGATCAAGACCATCCTGGCCAACATGGTGAAACCCCATCTCTACTAAAAATACAAAAATTAGCTGGGCATGGTGACATATGCCTGTAGTCCCAGCTACTTGGGACGCTGAGGCAGGAGAATTGCTTGAACCTGGGAGGCGGAGGTTGCAGTGAGCTGAGATCGCACCATTGCACTTCAGCCTGGCGCCTGGTGAGAGAGTGAGACTCTGTCTCAAAAAAAAAAAAAAAAAAAAAAGAATTATTTCATTACCTTCAAGCAGGTGTAAATAAAGGTATTTAACCAAAACTTACAAATCTCTTCTCAGAGATCTCCAAACACAGAGATTCCACAGTGGCCATCAGTGAACATGTTTCTGTGTTTTAGCTCTAGGATAGTTAGGTTGGGGATGTGAGTCTGTGTTTCTACTGAAACAGCTTCTATGTTAAGTTCTTTGATCCTCTGGGATCTCTCAAGGCATGGAGAACTACTATAAAAATTCCTCTTCTAGGAAATATCCATGCTTTTCAAGACATTAATTGGATTATCTCTTTAGCCATTCTTCTTCAAGTTTAACAAACCTGCTCTTGATGTGATATGCTCATAGAGATGCCCATAAGACATTTCTATCATAATAGCTCTTTCTGTTCACTTTGGGTTGTCCACATCCTATGTGGCTTAAAAAATCAGTGACCAAAGCAGGCCCTGTACTCTTTTTAATACTCAGCCCCAGTCCTGAGGGTAGAGTGCTAGAGGGCTTCCTGGGCCATGCATTCGATGTTTCTTTCCCTCCATCCCTTCCTTCCTTTCTTTCTTTATCTTTCTCTTTCTTTCTTCTTTCCTTCATCCCTCCCTCCTTCCCTCCCTCCCTTCCTGCCTTCTCTCTTTCTTTCTTTCTTTTTCTCCCTCCCTCTCTCTTTTTCTCTCTTTCCCTCCTCCCTCTCTCCCTTCCTTCCTTCCTTCCTTCCTCTCTCTTTCTGGCATTCTTGAAAGAAGTTAGATGTTGCATATACAAACCAAATACAAATGGGCCTCATGTAAAACACAAAGCCTCAGTAAAGAAACACATAGTTCTTTAGTTAACTTTTTAGTTAGTGATGGAAATGCCTTTAAGGATATGAAAAGGAGCCCCCTTCAGCCAAAGATGTACAAGTATGTGACTGAAATAAAAAGAACCTCCTCCAGGTGGTAGCCAGAGTAGTTACTATTCCCTTCCCGTCAACATTGGGGTGGATGTATAGATCCCTTCCGCCACAGCAGCAGAACAAAATAAAATGAGGTTTTTTGTTTGTTTGTTTGTTTTGAGGCGGAGTTTCGCTCTTGTTACCCAGGCTGGAGTGCAATGGCGCGATCTCGGCTCACCGCAACCTCCGCCTCCTGGGTTCAGGCAATTCTCCTGCCTCAGCCTCCTAAGTAGCTGGGATTACAGGCACGTGCCACCATGCCCAACTGATTTTTTGTATTTTTAGTAGAGACGGGGTTTCACCATGTTGACCAGGATGGTCTCGATCTCTTGACCTCGCGATCCACCCGCCTCGGCCTCCCAAAGTGCTGGGATTACAGGCTTGAGCCACCGCGCCTGGCCCTAAAATGAGTTTTATAACTGGTATTCATAACAATTTATAGATAACTACAGAATTAAATGAGGAGCCATCTCTGATAGATGTATAATAATAGGAAAAGAAATATCTAGACCTGTAGACATAAAGTTGATGAAGACACTTGACATTAAATTTCGAACTTCAAGTAACACCCCTAGACCAAGATTTTTCTGTAATTCCTAAGTTGGCCCTGATTCAAAGAAGTGACCAGGTTGGCACAGGCCAACTTTAGATATGAACAGGAACTAAAGGAGGTCTAGCAGAGACCCGTAACCCACTAGTTGATGAGGAGGAAGACAAAAAACAGAATTAGAACCAAGGATTTCATAGTCTTAAGGACAAAGGGGTTTTTTGTCCATTATTGGGGAAAGGATCCATACTTTAGGTGAACCCTCATATATTTCTTACTGACTGGCATATTATTCATTCTGTGGTATATTTCATTTCTCTTTGCTGAACATTTTGCAATCTTTTAAAAAATCCCTGCTTATGTTCTCTTTATTTTTTTTATTTTTGTAATTAAAAAATATGAGGGAACGCTTCACAAATTTGCAAGTTATCGTTGCGCAGCGGCCACACTAATCTTCTCTGTATTGTTCCAATTTTAGTACATATGCTGCCGAAGCAAGCACTGTGTTCTCTTTCATGTACCTGAACTTGGAGGACGCAAGAGAGCTGGCTTCTCAATTCTGTTGCTCAGAGTACCTAAAGATAAACAAATAAACAGCTTCCCCAGACAGGCCTGTTACTGTTTGCTTGTGCCACCTATTATTTACCCAAGAATGAGGCCTATTTTGTGAAGAAGAAAAGAAGTTCCGCTCTAGAAACTGTTCAGGGAGGCTTTTGTTTTATATTACAGGTGGCGGAGGAATGCAGTGGGGAGGTTTCTATGAAATTGGCATTGTCAACTGCCCAAGGCAGAACTTGTGGTAGCTTGAGAGCTTGTCTCTGTTTTAAATTCCTGAAAAAGCCGGGTGTGGCGGCATGCACCTGTAGTCCCAGCTACTTGGGAAGCTGAGGTGGGTGGATGGCTTGAGCCCAGGAGTTCTGTGCAACATCAATCGCATGTTCGTGATAAGTTCAGCATCAATATGGTGACCTCCTGGGAGCAAGGGATCACCAGGTTGCCCAAGTGGGGGTGAACTGGCCCAGGGAAGAAATGGAGCTGGCCAAAACTCCAGTGATGATCAGTAGTGGGATCACACCTGTGAATAGCCACCGCATTCCAGCCTGGACAAACATGGTATCTTATTAAAAAAAAAAAAAAAAAAAAAAAAAAACTGGAAAAAATAAACCCTGAAAATTATGGGCCCACTTCCAATCTTTTCTCTGCTTTCCTGACACAAGATATTGGTGCAAAAGAAATTGCAGTTTCTGCCATTTAAAAGTAATGGCAAAAACTGCACCTACTTTTGCACCAACCTAATAATATGGGTCCAAGAAAGAAACCAAAGATTAATGCCTCCAATAAAGAAAAGTCTTGTCATATAACTGCCGTTCTTAGACTACTTGGGCTGCTATAACAAAATACCATAAACTGGGTAGCTTTAAAGCAACAGAAATGCCGGGCGCGGTGGCTCACGCTTGTAATCCCAGCACTTTGGGAGGCTGAGGCGGATGGATCACTAGGTCAAGAGATCGAGACCATCCTGGTCAACATGGTGAAACCCCGTCTCTACTAAAATACAAAAATTAGCCGGGCCTGGTGGCGCACGCCTGTAATCCCAGCTACTCAGGAGGCTGAGGCAGGAGAATTGCTTGAACCCGGGAGCCGGAAGTTGCAGTGAGCAGAGATCGCGCCATTGCACTCCAGCCTGGGTAACAAGAGCGAAACTCCGTCTCAAAAAAAAAAAAAAAAAAAAAAAGCAACAGAAATTTAGGCCAGGCGCAGTGGCTCACGCCTGTCATCCCAGGAGTTTGGGAGGCTGAGGCGAGCGTATTACAAGGTTAGGAGTTCGAGACCAGCCTGGCCAATATGGTGAAATCCCGGTCTCTACTAAAAATGCCCACATACACACAAATTAAGCCAGGCATGGTGGTGGGCACCTGTAGTCCCAGCTACTGGGGAGGCTGAGGCAGGACAATCGCTTGAACCTGGGAGCAGTGAGCCGCCACTGCACTCCAGCCTGGGTGACAGAGCAAGACTCCGTCTCAAACAAAACAAACAGAAATGTACTGCTCAATATTCTGAAGACTGAGAAGTCCAAAATCAAAGCAGATTTGGTGTCTGGTGATGACCTATTTTCTGGTGTATAGATGGCACCTTCTTGCTGTGTCCTCACAGCAAGATGGAAGGGGTAAGGGTCTCTCTGGGGTCTCTTTTATAAGGACACTAATCCCATTCATGAGGGCTCCCTCCTCTTTACCTAATCACTTCCCAAAGTCCCTGTCTTGTAATAGCATCACCTTAGGGGTTAAGATTTTAACACGAACTTTGGAGGGACACAAACATTCAGGTGATAGCACTGCCCAAATGCTAATGCAAACTCATTGTTGCTCAATTTGTTATTTAAACACTGTGCATTATTGCATTATCTTCCACTTGTCCTCTTTCCTTCTGTAATTTGTCCATATTGGCTTGTTCTATCTTCTGTCACTTCTTCCCTCCCTTCTGTCTGGGTTTCATTCCCGAACAAGGGCTCTGTGCCTGTCTCCCTGCTCAGACCCATTCGTAATTGTAATTACCACCTTAGTCTTGCCCAGTGGCAGTATCTTCACCCACAGATTTAACTGAGGTAAAACTATTACCTGTTAGACAACTTTAGCTCTGCAACATAAACATCTGAGTTAAGAAAAAATTACGAGTACACAAGTCACACGTAGTGTTGGAGAATACTAGTCCTACAAGGTATAAGCAGATAAGGCAGGTGAGGTCCAAGCCAGTTTCTCTATGGGGCAATGTCTTTCACTTAATGTAACAGTGCATTATAAAGGAAAGGAAGGAAGGAAGGAAGGAAGGAGGAAGGGAGGGAGGGAAGGAAGGAAGGAAGGAAGGAGAGAGAGAGAGAGAGAAAGAAAGGAAAGAAAGGAAAAAAGAATGAGAAGAAAGATTTTTAATGAATCCACACTCAAAAAAAAAGGAGGCAAACTAGTATGAACAGAACAATTAGAAAACAAACTATAAATTTCACTTTACATTTGCTAGACAAAGGAGTTACTATCATGAGAATTTAACCATCACAAAATATTTTGCTGAACAGTATTTATTCCTATATTAAGGAAGCAATGTCCATAGACAGAAGTGTGAGTTTAAAGAAACTAAAAACTTAAGATGGCCAGATTAACGATATCTTTCATTTTCTTATTTATAGGTTTATGTATTTTTCAAATTATTTGGAAAGAACTTTTGGAACTGAAAAAAGTTTAAACACTAAAAATTCTTTTCTACATTTTTCCTGTTGAATTCGTATTCTGTTTATGAACTAGGAACACGATATCCCCAAGGTGCTATTGATGTCATCCAGTTGTAGCCAACTATGTGCTTAAATAATAATTCAAGTGAGGAAGAGAAATATATTTTTCAGAAAGTGACAGCAATATTATGCTTTTATACCTTGTTGATATGATCCAAAATGTGAAGATATTTAAAAATACTTGAGTTACTAATTTTTTTTTTTTTACTTTTCCTCTACATTAATGACACTACAAAGCTATGTATATTTTGGTAGTCACCAAACCATTAAAAATGTCAATATCATTATTGTTATCCATTCTCTACACAAGGATTTTTCCATGTTGGAACTACTAACATTTTGGGCTAGATAATTCTCTGCTGTAGGGTGCTGTTTTCTGCCGTGTGGGAGGCTTAGCACCATTCCTGGTCTCTACCCAACAGATGTGATGACCAAAAACGTCTCCAGATATTGCCAAATGTCCCCTGAGGGGCAAAATTGTCCCTGCTTGAGAAACACTGCTGTATAGTGAGTTATTAGTATCCAAATATTTTGATTATCTTTTTAACCGTTACCTATTACCCCGGCCACATTAATCATGCCATGATTCACATTGATCACAATGATTAAAGAAATTATAGATTTGTTACGTTGCTCAGGCACTTACCATTAGGCTGTTAGACAAAGTCTGGGAATATAAGGGGAAAAAATTCCCATAATTACAAAAAATAAAAGATTACATGAAAAGAGCAAAGGTGTTGGCTGTACACTGGGATCCAATGACATTCATTTGTTGAAGTTGCCTGAATGACTCCAAGACGTACAGCAGCTATTATTCACTTAGCTATAACACAGCAAACATTAACACATATTTTGAAAAGGAGAGATGTTGCTTCATGTGACAATACTGATAATATTTAAGAAGAGATGTGAGTGACTCATCAGACACTCAGGCATAATTTTTCCCTCTACCTGTTACTAATCATTTTTCTCACTGCCTTTTTTATTTAAGCACATGTTCAGTAGCACCCACAATCAAAATTCTACTATAAAACAAAACATCGAATATCTTCCTTTTATTTTATTAAAACAAGCATTGTAAATGATCACTAAGAGTGAATAACATAAACAATAAGTATTATTTGCATCACCATTCTTCTAGATTTTTATGTCACCACTGTGAATGTTGGATGGCCTTTTGTCTCTTCTAAATGTCCCATTCCTTATGGATAATTAAAAATGACCCATAAGCAAAGTTAAGCTGTAAGAGGATTTTTTTCAAACATACAGCCTTGACTCGTACTATTGTTATCCTCCAATTTCCTTTGGACATTTTCAATAATAATATGTGAGTTTTAAAACTTACTTAAAATGACTCTTTTTAAAAAAGAAAACACCGTAGTGGGATGCTGGGATTGCATTCATCCCAGCATGCTCCACCACTGTTCTTTGGATGGCAATCACAGGACCCAGATATCAAGCTGTGGAAGAGATTCTTCCAAGCAACAGCATCTGGCTCTTTGGCAAACTGAACAGGCAGTTGCCCTGGTGGCTTTGGAGTTGCCTCTGGGTCTGTCACGGGGTAAGGCTGCTGATGGAGTGTCTGGATTCTCATCTTTTCATTTCACTGTCTTTCTCATATACCTTTTGGGCATCAAGAGACCCACTCTCTTCCATAAGGCAAACACTGCCCTCCTTAAGCCTAATGAACTTTTACATAAACCCTGTGGTACTTCCGTAAGTATCCCTTTCCATTGCCCACATCTCTTGTGGAAGTGCAAAAATAGGCAAACATTTTGGCATCAGCAACACTAGCATTCTATTTCACACCCCACTTACAGAGAGAAACAGAAATTAAATGCCGTATTCTCAGTTCTGAATATTTTAAGCTTGTATTTTCACCTTCTTTGCTCATAATAGATCCTTTTGCCAGTTAAACTTAATACATTCATATTTATAATATGAATAGCTACCTAATCTCATTTTAAAAAATTTAGGATTGCATAATCTAAGCTGGTAAGGTGGTATAAAGACTATAGGAGCTTAGTCTGAAGAATTTATGGCACTTCAAAATCGTAAGTGCAGTCGTTGGAACAAATAAACACCTTGAATACCAGAATCAGTAGCTCCAGAACAAAGGGGCTCTTATATCCTCTTAGCTGTGAAGGAAATTAAAAAGATCAAATTTGAAAAATAAAGAATAAGTTTTTAGAGGTTTGTGAATTAAAAAAACAAACAAA